GCGTCTCTCAGCGTCGGGATCGACGCCGCTCTCGCTGCCAGTGTCTCCGCCTGCGCCTGTGCCAGCCCCTCGCCATCACCCAAGTTGGCCCCCTCGAGCCGTTGCCGTCACCACCCTCGACGTCGGACGTCTCAGCGATGACTGCCGCCGGTACCTTCCTGACACCCGCTGGCTTACCACCAGCATTCGCCGGTTTGCCGGAGCTTGTAGCCCTCGTACTGGCCGGTTTACCGGAGCTCGTAGGCTTCGCACTGCCAGGTTTAGCGGCGCTCGTAGCTTCCCCGGGCTCTGAGGCTTGCCAGAAGTCGGCCTGCCAGTGGGCTTTGCCTTGCCAGACGTCGCGCCAGACGTCGCGCTTGTAGTTGCCTTGCCGGGCGTAGTGGCAGCAGGAGTTTTGCTTGACGACTGAGGCTCCGGTGTTGTACAAAGCAGCGGTTTGCCTGATTTCTTCGCTACAGTCAAGATTCAGTGAATATATTCTGTTAAAGACTCGCCTGGCCAAACAAGCCTGTAAACTTCTTTTCCCTGATGGTCTCTCAAACGGTCACCACCTCACATTAGATGTCTTAAGCTAAGAGAAATTTAGTGTTAGCGTATACCAACAGGTAACTGAGGTCATCTAAACACTCTACATTCGTCTTAAGTTACCATAAGCCTCTTAGTTGAAGTACGTAACCACTGTAAAGAAGTGTTGTGTCCGAATAGCTTCAATAATAATATGGGTTTTTCCTGATGAAGGCCGTCGTCATGTGGATGGATAGTACCTGCTGACTGGGAGCGTCCTGTTAGTCACAAGCCGGGTCATGGCGTACATCAAAGACTTGGGAATGGGGCATGTGGTCTTACCGGAAGAGTCATTGCCCGCCCGCTGCCCACAACAACGCTGCCGAAATTCGATCTTTCAAATCATGGCTGAGCAAGATAACGACGAGCATGAAGGAACGACAATCAGCATGGTTGAAGCGCAAACCCTCGCTCTAACAATCGGAATGCTGCTGCATGACTTAGAAAGTCATTGTCGAGCAACCGTGATAAGTATAACTTACCAGATCACGTACTTAACACTCTGCATGATCACGCGTTCGTCAAGGATCACCTCCTGTATGCTTGCAAGTCACTGGCGAAAGAGTGGGAGGAAGTTCCAAAGCGGTCGAAGCGGCTCATGAATCCTCCAGGTACCGGGTCGGATGCATCTGCCATTGGCACGAGGATCCGGAAGCGCGGCCGCAAGGGCGAGCCCGTGTCTCCGACGAAGGGGCAACGTGCCGCCAAGAAGCCCCGGCACTAGTGGGAGGGTTGGTAGAAATGATGGTGGGAGTGTTATTGCATTGAATGGCTTGTTTCCGTCGGCGAAGAATGAGAATAACGAATGTATTGCCTTGTCTTTGTACTGTGCGTACAATACAGATTATGTGGGACCGGACGCCCGCCACCGGACGCCCGCCGCCGGATGAGTGCCACCGGCCGGGCATTAGCTGAAAGTGACAACACACATCCGCCGCTGCATGTGGTCCCGCTGGCGGAATCAGCCAGTACTAATCGAGAGACAATCATGCGATTTCAACCCCTACATATGATATCGTACACCGCGTAAACTAGGCACAAGTTCGGACGGCTAACTACAGATCAAGACAGGGGAGTTGGCTCCCGGGACGGGTTGCGAGGATGAAAATTGTACCGGGGCTGTACCGGTTCAGCGGCCTTCTCCTTGCCTGTCTGCGGCGGCGGATCGAAGCACCTGTGCATTCTTGATCAGCTCGCGGACCAAGCGGTCACATCGCTCACTCACAGTGCGAGGGGAAGCTCCAGGTTCTCTTCCGCGGTGCAAAAATATTGCAAGTTGTCGCTCACAAAGATGTTTTCCCCGGCCACCAGATTCGCGTGTTTCACAAACCAGTCGCGCGCGCGAACCTGCCTGTCGTCTTCCGGGATCCGGGAGACCCCCTTCTTCTGATCCTCGTATCCCGTGACGATGACGGCAGTTTCGCCCCGGTCCGGGAGAAGCCCTGTTTTGAGGGGGGCTCAGTAATGGAGCCCGTGTGCTTGGGGATGGTACTCACAGCTCACAGGAGGCACGAGCTTGCTCCTCTCCAGACCCCGAATCCAGTCGATCATGCACAGTATGTCGTTCACGAATGCATTGAATTCGCGAGGCCCCTCGACCTCCGGAATTTCCTCGGGCACAAAGGGACCGACCCAGCACCGGCAGAACCAGTGCAGGCTCTCCACCGGCAGTATGTACCAGAGATGACGCCAACCATGCTGTGGAGGTGCATCAGACAACTGTAGGACATGTCACAGGCACTTACACTCACCTTGTACTTTGTGGCTGCAGCTTGTGGGGGCACGGATTGTAGATCCAATAGACTCCAGTGCTATGTCATGATGGTTGTGTTACTAAGTCAGTCACGTGAATAATACCCACGATATGGACTTCTCCCGTGTGCCGCTATCATGGTACATGTGCCGGTGAGTGTTTCCTGCCGGATGTCAAACAAACTTAGGTGTGAGAACAAAGTGGTCCCATGTCGCGGACGGAACATACCCAAATATATTTACACACGTTCTGTATATTGTTGTCCGCACTAACTCCGTGGCTGGAAAGCACCCCGAGAAGGCCGGTGTCATTGCCTTGATTGTAGCTGCTACTATCGCAGCATGTATTGCGGGTCCCATGAGTGCGCTGCACATGTGGGTTGCAGCGCAAATTGCTATCTCAATGCAGTCCGGACGGGGCATCAGCTGTGTATCACCCAGTACTCTTCTACGGAAGACATATCCGGGCTTCTGTGGACAGTGGATAAGCATGCGACGTCGGGTCGTGTTCCACGACACAATGCACGCCCCTTGATTGGGCAGCAGGCATGCCTCCGATGTGGCCCTTGTGACCGCACTCAACAGCGGCACATTAGCAAGCAAGGCATTCCGACGTGTGATGTGCTTGGTGTATAAAAGGGCGCACAGCGCCGCCACGGATCTCAGCAGCGCAAGTCTCACCGCTGTGGTCGGACAGGCTAACATTGGAAACATGGTACGCCGGGCCGCTTCGATCGTGCACGCGAAGGACACTTACTATGTCCAGTTTTCTTTCGACGGTCACCCCGATGTGGACGACCAACTCCGCGAAATGGTCCACCACTGGCATTTGAAGCCGGCCTCCACGCAATTTTCCCAGTATGGCGCGTGGACAAGGTACTTTACCTTGTGATTCCCCCGTACCTTGATCAAGCCACAAGAGCCGCTCCGCCCGTCTGTCCCCGGACAGCATATCCTTGACGCGGTGCCGGGCGGGCGTGGAAATGACGAGCAAGCGGCCGCCGGTCAAGCGCTGGCTGGGCGGCCCCCGACTAGTGTCGACTGGGACGGTATGTACGATTTCTGCAGGGCTTCCGGACGCAACCGCAACTGATTATTGACAGGAGGGATTGTGTACTCGCGCACGAAGTCTGGCACGAAGTACCCCGACTTCCTCATCAGTTCGTACTACGGCCTCAAAGAGCCAGGGGGTCAGGAGCTGGAGCGGGAGGTGCCACGCCTCGTTGTTGAAGTCAGGTCGCTGCGTCCCGACGAGGTGATTCCGACAATCGACGACCGGATCGCTATATTGAAACAGCTGCAATCGTACATGGCGCGAGTCGTCGCTCATGTGGACCTCACGAAGCATGAGCTGCCGTGGGGGCTAGCGATCATCGGGACTTACACAGCATGGTTGCGCCCTAGCCGCCGCAACGCCCAATGCGCATGGGAGTACATTGGCGGCTTTCACTCCGGTCGCGGATACTGGACGAGCATCTACGGGCTCGAATTCCGAAAGTATATCAATGAGCGGGCAGACAAGTGCCGTCTCAACTCCATTGCCTACGCCCGTGCGTACCGGGAGAAGCTCGATAACCTCCAGAACGCGCCGCCGGAAGTCATCCTCCCAGCGTAGACAGTCAATGTATCATTTCAAGTTAACGAATGGATGTTTACGCAGAACCGCTTCAGCAGTTGTACCACCGCTTCAGAGTGCAACCGATGCCAGGTCATGAGGGTATGCAGAAAGTCCACCAAGATTTCCATCTGTCCGGCGTCCGGTGTCCGACAGCGGGCGTCCGGCGGCGGGTGTCCGGTGGCGGTTGTCCGGTGGCGGGTGTCCGTCGGTGGGTGTTGGGGACGGACGCGTGGTAAGCCACAGCCATGAGACGTCGTCAAACGTCGTCGCCGCTACATTGCAGCCCTTCCCCCTGTAGTTGGATGAGCACCGCCACCGGGCATCACACATTGCCCACATCGATAAACGCGCATCATTTTGACGCCTGTCATCTCACACCAGTGGCTGCGTGGGAAAGAATACCCGAACCGGGGAGTGCTAATCAGACGTCGTGGATCAGTAGTGCTCCTTGCTCTCTACTTTGATCTCGCGAGCAACTTGGCTTCTCTGTCCTTCCTACCCTCTACACGATGACCTTCCCAACCGCCCAAGAATTTGAGGCCGTGTTTCATGACAATGCGGTTGCTGCGGCGCAAGCAGCGGCTCAGTCAACCGGGGCCCACGGGAGCACTGCCGCAGAGGATCGCGTGCTCCTCAAATCAATGGTATTGTATTAACCTTTGTTTCCATTTGCTGTAACGCACTGACACTGTGTTTTGGCAGTGTATGGCAGCGATGATCACAGGGTTCCAGCGCCTGTCCAATGAAGACACGCTGATGGTGTTAGGCATTACGGACGCCATGGCCCGGTTTTGGGAGGTCCTCGATGCCCCGGAACAATCTGGGGCTGCAGCACTAGAGCGCTTGAAGGACGTGGTGGTCCTGAAAGATGTATCGATGGAGCCAGAGGGAAGTCAAGGCACACGGGGAGTGCCTCCGATGACCCGGAAGCATGGATTGGATGATGGTATGTCCCGCTGGCTTGTGCATTTCACCGACCCACCCTAACTGGTGAAGAAGGGAACGTGCTCATCCCGCCTGACAATGTTTCCCTTTCTGCATTTCGCATGGAAATGAGGGACACATTCGACACCGAGGCCACTCGAGTGGAGGCCGTCGAGGCCTTGCTCGATGCGGAGATCACCAGGGAGGACGAAAGGCGTATGTCACTCGAACGCAGGCACATCAGAGAGCAACAGGACGTATGTATCGGTGCTGCATTCACTTGCGCTCGGACTCACATCGCGACCCCTAGGGAATCGCACATTACATCAATAAGCTGAACCTACGCCTACTGCCGCCCATGGTCATGCCAATTCCGGCCAGTCCACCCGGGCAGTACAGACAACTTGCAAATGGCGAGCTCACGAAGGTGTTGGATCCGGCGGAAAAGGTCCAGTATTTAGACAACATCATTGATGCCCTGATGACGCAATATGGGATCATGGAGGACTATATTTCGGCCGAAATAGGCTTCTGGGAATCAGTTTTGGAGGGCAGTGAGCGGGAACAGAGTGACTGGTATGCGCGGGTTGCCCCGCACCCGGTGATGGAGGATTCAGACTATTTTGCCCGCGGATTTACCGAGTTTCGTGGGTTAGAAGACATGCAGGAGGAGTAATGAAAGTGACATGTCGGAAAAGGTTTCCGAATCTATTTGTATGTGTAATATACGTTGTACAATGTTCCCAGCGAAAGTCCGTAGTGTATGTCGACCTTCACAATGCTGAGTATGTGTCGACCTTGATGGAAGCGTTGACAGCGAGATACCACCCACGAACGCAGTACACCTATGACTTTTGCAACGGCTGCAGCTGCCACCATCTGGCTTGGCGGGTGTCCGGTGGCGGGTGTCCGGTGGCGGGTGTCCGGTGGTGGTCGTCCGGTGGCGGGCGTCCGCTCGTGCTCCACTGAAGCATGAGCATTCACTAAGCAAAGCTGGAAACTTCTATGTTCGAATCCATAAAGTTGTAGATGCAATCAAATTTCATCATCGTACATTACACGTATATAGTGTTATTATTATTGGCCCAAGCGAGTGTCACACTGCGTCGGGATCATCGCTTGACATGTCCAAATCACTACCATCATCCATACTGGCCATGTCGCTGCCATCCTGTGTGCACAACGCGGAAGCATGCCGGAGTGTGGCAGAAGCAATGACAGTGTCGTCGGGAACCTCGTGTACGTCGTGGCTTGCCAAGTTGGGTGCCGGGATGGCATGCCTGCTCAGCGACGATGTATCCGGGGAGGCAGGAACGTTCGTCTGCGCCCCATGATCAACCAGCATCTCCGACGCTGCCGCTGCTCCGGGCTGGTGTTCAAAGTGTGTGAAAGCACGGATACTGTCTGCCAATTTGATTTCAGTGCAGTATGGCCCAGGGACTTCATGTCTGACTTACTACGTGCTCTCAGGTGTTCACGGAGTGTCGCGAAGTCCTGCCGGAGCTCATCGCACATGGTGCGGATCTCAGCATTCTCCTGTCGCAGTTCTCGGACTTTGTATGAGACGTCCGCCGTTGTTTCCAGGAGCTCAATGCCCTCTGCACTTGGGTCCGGCTTCCGATGAGCCAATCCTGTACATTTATCACACGTAAATAATGATCACAGCGGAATGGATGAAACACTCACTTGGCGGGAGTGCCCCAATGTATGCGCGGACGAAGGTGCACGGTTTGTCCGCATCCAATGTGCACTGCCCGGCAGCGCATGATTCTTCCCCGCTTCCTCGAGGGGTGGTGGCGGTGGTTGAAGCATTGTCCTGCTCCGCGGGCGCATCCGCGGTGGATTCCGGAGGGCCACTTGCATCGGGCAGAGCAGACGGAGATCGGGCTCGGTGTTGGGTGTTTGCGTTGGGCGGGGTTGGTGTGCTGGATCGACCCGCCCCGACCTCGTCAGCCGGGGACGGATTGCGGGCCTCGCTGGTAAAGCACTTTTTGCCCAGTCGGGCGCACTCGTCACACTTCGTAGCAGGACGCTTGGCGTTGGGATCGCTGGAGATCCAGCAGTGAATGCCGGAGCACCGCGTGCATGGAGGCTCCTGCAGCGGCTAATGAGTTCCCGGCGATCAAAAGAATGATTCAAGCTCACCATGGTCCTCAGCCAGATAGCTTTGCGCCGTCCCCGAATCTTCCCGGCGTCCCAGTTGAACTTGGGCAGGCGCTTGACAGCCCGCTCCCTGTTGAGCAGACTTGGGCTGCCGTCCGTGGTTGCTCTAGGACTCTTCTTCGTAGAATCGAAGTCCGAGCATGCCTCTGAACTTTTGGAACTTGACACGGCCCAAGTTTTTGGTGAAGAGGTCTGCCGGATTATCGTCAGTGCCAATGAAGAAGACTTCGACCTGTCGTTCTTCAATTAGCTCCCTGATATAATGATAGCGTATGTCGATGTGTTTCGACCGCCTCTCAGTTACAGGGTTGGAGCCGATGAATATCGCTCCTTGATTATCCGAGCAGATAGGTAGTGGGCCAAGTGGATATCCAATCTCCGTGAGGAGCATTTTAATCCATACGACTTGGCGGCTGCAGTCGCTGAGCGACATGTATTCAGCCTCAGTTGAAGACAGTGCTACCGTCTTTTGCCGTCAAGACAGCCAACTGAACACTCCACCAGCTAACTTCATAAAGTAGCCACTCTGAGACCTCCGCATCTCCAGGTCGTTAGCCCAGTCGGAGTCTGTGCACGCCGAGACACCTTGTCCAGTTTTGCCGCTGTATACAAGCGCATAGGACTTGGTTCCAATTAGATAGCGGCAGATATACAGTGCTTTATCCAAGTGGTCTTGTGACGGGTTCGCAGCATGTTGCGCGAGTTTTGTCATGGCGAAACAGATGTCAGGGCGAGTTCCAAGCATAATATATAGCAAGGAGCCAATGACAGTCTGATACCGACTTCGAAGTGCAGGGTCAACCGTGCCAGTGTAAGGCTCAGGTTTGTAGCCCGCAGGGAGTGGAGTAGGCGCAGATTTAGCATTCTGCATGCCACAGCGCTCAAGCACCTTCTCAAGGTAGGCAGTTTGGTCGAGATGAATCTCGTCGCCTTTCCGAGTAATGCTCATTCGCAGGAATTCCTTGACGTCACCAAGGTCGCGACACTCCCACTTCTTCATGAAGCAGTTCTTTAGAGCGGCCACTAGGGCCTTGTCTTTTCTGCAGAAAAGGGCATCATCCACATAGACAATGATGAGGATGAACCTCCCATCTTTTGTCTTGTAGATGAATATTCCGGCATCGGATACAAGGCGTACACAGCCAAGTTCCTTGAGGGACTCATTGAGGGTGCGCCACCACGCAAGCCCCGCCTGTTTAAGTCCATAGAGAGCACGCAGTAGCCGGAGGACTCTGTGCTCTTGGCCTGGGACTTTAAAGCCGTCAGGCTGCTCCATGTAAATCTCCTCGTCGAGTTTACCATAGAGGTACGCATTACGGACATCGAGTCCGGAGATGTGCATGCCCTTGAGCGCAGCTAGCGCGAGTATTAGGCGCACGGTCTCAAAGCGTACGACAGGAGAGAAGACCTGATCATAGTCAAGGCCTTCAATCTGGGAGTAGCCTTTTGCGACTAGTCTAGCCTTTTTACGACCGTCAGTTTTGACGTCGAAGACCCAGCGGTTTTTGGTAACCCTACGTCCCTTAGGACGGTCTACCAACTCATAGACATTGCGTTTGCGTAGAGCCTCTAACTCCTCGCGACACGCTAGTCTCCACTTCTCTTGCTCCTCTTTGGGTAGCTTGAGAATATCGCGGTATGTCCATTCACGTGGATTGGACTCTGGAGAATCATGTTCAACAGATGGTAATGCGCATGAAAGCAGCATGTTGACCATTCCTACTCCCCCTTCCCGGCATAGTCGTGCCATGAGTAACTCCTCGACTTCTTCGTCTGAGCCCGAGGCAGATCCAGAAGGTTGGTCTGGCTGTGGTTCTGGCGCGCTAGGTCCGGGAACCTGTTGCTGCGACCCTGATTGAGGGTTAGGGCGGGTGCTACCCGACCCTTCTCCGACAATCTTTTTCCACTGCCCCTTCTTTTCAATCTCTTTGTACTGGTCTACGGGATTGTGATTTTCTCCGTAGACGTTCCCTGGGCGAGTTACATGCTTCCGCTGACGACCTGATTTCCGCTGCCCTTGAGGCGCAGGAATTCCCGAAGGTTGTGGCGGCGGAACTGGACTGGGCGCCTTTGGCTGCTCCTGAGCATCGTCACGCTCATCGTCCGTTCCCTTTGGAAGGTGGTAGGGACGAGAGATATCCTCATCGTCTGAATCCTCCTGAGAAGTGGGTTGGTGACCCGCTTTGTGGTCATGTTTTGGCGCGCTTTGCAGCCTAGTATTACCCCGCCGCTTCATGCTGGGGCATTTGGGGAACATACTCTCGTCGAACAACGCATGTGACGACGTGTAGAGCACATTATTTGGTGCACGCATGAACAAGTCACCGTGACCTCCGGGGGCGACACCGAGGTATGTCATTAACTCTGACTTTCTAGACAGAGTGTTCTTGCGCACGTCCTTGGGGATAAAGACGTATGCGCCGCACCCGAATACTCGTAGATGCCTAATGGCAGGAGCCTCGCCATTCAACATCTCATATGGTGTCAGCCATTTGAGGCGACGAGATGGTGTCCTATTGTACACATGGACAGCGTGGTTCACCGCAAATTCCCACCAGGATTCAGGTAGACACACTTCAAGGCGCATAGCCTGAGCTTTGTCCATTATCGTCCTGTTGAGTCGCTCAGCTCTGCCATTTTCCTGAGGAGTGTGTGGCGAGCTTTGCAAGATCTTGATGCCCTCGTCTTTCAGCATCTTATCAAACGCGTCAGACTTGTATTCTCCCCCAGCATCCGACATCCATCCTTTGACTTTCTTGCCATATTGGGTTTTAACCGTGGCGAGAAATTGGCGCGTAGACAAAATCGCAGCACTTTTGGTGCGCAGATTCACGGTCCAGGCGTGAGACGTGTAGTCGTCATAGTACAGTATGTAGTACCTGTACTTATGGTAGGAGTCAAGCGGGAACGACTTCACATCACTGTGAATGAGCTCGAAGGGCTCTGTCGCTCGCTTTGTGGATGGCGGGAAAGCCTTGTTTGGCATTTTCCCTTCTGCACATCCAGGGCACACAGGATCCTCCGTAGGGAACTCAACCCTGAGAGGGAAACCATCGGTGTGTTTTTCAGCCTTCCGAAGAACATCCTTTGAGGGATGCCCAAAACGGCGGTGCATAGTTTCATAGTCTACAGTGTAGACCGTATTGTGGATACTTTGCGCATCTTCCCCAGAAGCTGCAGCATAAATCCCAAAAATAGAGCCACCTGGGTTCAGCGGTTTAAACACATATAGTGGATCCCGCGATCCCGGCTCATAGAGGTTGATGTGCTGCGAACCACCGCGCACAGTCATGCCTTCTTTGAGGAAAGTCCCCATGGACAACAACCGTTGATGCAGACCTTGGAAATAATAGACAGGGTATAGACGAGTTGTTATCATCTCACCGTCTCCACCTAGGAAATTGATGAAGACGGTCCCGCGCTTCGTGCAGCGGGCCGTGCCATTTGCAGTCTGCACCAGGATGGGTTTGCTGAGATCCTCAACTTCAGCGAAGTCACTCATCCGGTTGGTAAAGTGCATTGAAGCACCAGAGTCCAACATCCAAGTTGGGTCTCCATCAGGGTAGGCTTCATTGCCACCCTCTAGGACATCCTCAATCTTCATTTTTCCTTTACACTTGGAGCACGCTGCAAACTCTCGCGCGTGACGACAGTGTATATATTTGTGTAATGAACTACCAATACATTCATTTATTACACGCGACTTAGATGATACTCTACTACATGCGGCTGTGGGTAGCGCATTGTCAGTAGGTCGCATGGGAATTGAAGGTGAGGGTACTGACCTGGCGTCCTCGTCCAGATCAAGCCCGGCGGCCATCGCGATGTCCTTGTCGACGTTCTCGTCGACGTCCTCGTCGTCCGACCCCCAGTTAAGGGGTTCCTGGGTCTCGGCCCAGGTGCCGTCGTTGTACGAGTTGTAACCCGCATTCACCTCGTCGATCCTCTCGGCCATGTCGTTGTCGTCGTTGGAGAGACGAGCGCGCTTGGATGCACGCGACTCCGTGTCAGAGAGGTAGTCCTCGATCTGTGCGGAGTTGTCGACAACTTGAGTGAGCGTTTTGAGGCGCTCGACCGTTGGAGAGACGTCAACCTCTTCGGCCAACTTGAGGGCGCGTTGCAGCCATTGCTGGCAGTTGCGCATAGGGCGCTTCTGCACAGGCGCGTGCGTTTCGACGATGCGGACTTTGCTGCCCGAAGGCGCGATGTCCACGACGTGGGACGTAGAGGGACCAGCCACAGACGCCTGCGAGGCGATGTGGGCGTGGTCGTGGCCGTTGCTGTGGCCGCCGCCGTCCTTCTGGGCATGGGTCTTCTTGCCGCTGCGTTTACCGCGCTGCTTGCCCTTGCCCTTGTCAGCCTTCTCGCCGCTGCCGCTGCCACCGTCATGGCGCTGCTGCTGCTGCTGGAAGCTCGGCTCGCCTTGCTTGCGCTTGACGGCCGAGATATTCTTCGCGTCGTGCAAAGAAGACGCCTTCTTGCCTGAGCCTTGCTCAAAGGCGAGGTTGGCGGCGTGCCGGACATCCGAGATCTTGAGCTTCTTGACGTCCGTCGTTTGCAGCATGACCTGCACGACGTTGTCGTACCGTGACGGTAAAGCATTCAGGGCCATCATGGCCAGAAGCGCGTCGGGGAGCTTGAGATCATTGTCCTCGAGCTTCTCGCAAGCATCGATGATCTTGGCGAGGAAAGGAGCAGGATGCTGGTCAGCAGGAATGCGCACTGTCGTCGCAGTCCTGAAGGACACGTAGAGGTTTGCAGCGTTCTGCTTGCTGTACATTGTCGACAGCATGTCCCAGAGATCCTTCGCCGAGTCGTTTTCTTTGACGATCTGAACGACCGAGGGACTGAGGCGCAGGCATATCATGCCTTGCGCCTTCTCGTCCGCCTGGGTCCACGCAAAAACCTCCTGATGGTTCCTGCCGCCCTCTTCGAGTGTTGGGCGCTCACCGAGAGTCTGTCCGATCATGAACCAGACTTCCTGGCTCTGGAGGTAGGACTTCATGGCCTCCGACCACTTGGCGTAGTTGGAGCCGTCCAGGACAGGGACCATGTTGAGGAGAGCGTTGGACATTGTGTGAGAGTTGTGTTGAACGGGGGAAGTGTTTAAGAGCTGCTTGGCGAAGGCGACATCAGCGCTCTGTCACACAACGGACTGCAGCCAAAAGGCGCTGTCCACACACATGGACTCAGTGTCCTCATGGTGTTTAGCAGCGACGTGAGTCGCGCTTGAGACCTGCAGCGTTTCCG